GGGTCTGGCACCGCTGCCCAACGGGTCTGGCACCGCTGCCCAATGGGTCTGGCACCGCTGCCCAACGGGTCCAGCACCGCTGCCCGCCCCGGGGCTGACCACTCCTCAAACACAGGCTGGTTCTGCCCACTCCCCAAACCCTGGCTCATTCTGCCCTCTCGTTCTGCCCGCTCGTTCTGCCCATTCATTCTGCCCACTCCTCACAGGCTCCTTCTGCCCTCCTCAAACACAAGCTCACTCTGCCCGCTTGTTCTGCCCTCCTCAAACACGGGCTGGTTCTGCCCTCTCGTTCTGCCCACTCATTCTGCCCTCCCCAAACACAGGCTCACTCTGCCCGCTCATTCTGCCCTCCTCAAACACGGGCTGGTTCTGCCCTCTCGTTCTGCCCACTCATTCTGCCCTCCCCAAACACGGGCTCATTCTTGGGGCAGCTTCTGCCTCGGCCCCGGCTCCTCTGGCAGCCTCCCCACCTGTCCGTTACTGGATATCGATTATTAGGGAATGTTTAAATAGAGGCTGGGCAAGGTGGAGGCCTTGTGGAGCCCCTGAAGGGGGGAAATGGTGCCTCAGGTTTTGGCTTTTCTGTTTATCAGATTCTCTACTGATGCCTCAGGTTTTAGCTTTTCAATTTTACAGATTCTCTACTGATGCCTCAGGTTTTGGCTTTTCAATTTTACAGATTCTCTACTGATGCCTCAGGTTTTAGCTTTTCAATTTTACAGATTCTCTACTGATGCCTCAGGTTTTGGCTTTTCTATTTATCAGATTCTCTACTGATGCCTCAGGTTTTGGCTTTTCCATTTATCAGATTCTATACTGATAGCTCAGGTTTTAGCTTTCCAGTTTTGCAGATTCTGCACTGATAGCTCAGGTTTTAGTTTTTCTATTTATCAAATTCTCTACTGACACCTCAGGTTTCGGTTTTTCTATTTATCAGATTCTCTACTGATGCCTCAGGTTTTCGCTTTTCTATTTTTCAGATTCTCTACTGATACCTCAGGTTTTTTTCTTTTCTATTTACCATACTCTGTACTGATGCCTCACATTTTAGCTTCTCAATTTTTCAGATTCCGTGCTGCCTTCTTGTGTGGGTCTGAGCTCCACATCAAGGTTCACATTAGGTTTTTCTTCTGGGGGCACATAAAATCCTTGATTTTGTACCAAAATCCCCCTCCAGCAGCTCCTGGCTCCTGGGATTCTCTGCTCCATCTCTGCTCCCCACACCTCCCTTCCCTCCTGCCATCACTGCAGCAGGAATTTGGCTCCGAGGTGCTTTTCCTGCTTTTCTCCTGCTCACGGCAGCTGCTGCCTTGGCATGGGGGAGGAGGAGGCACCAACCCCCTGCTCCGCTCCTGCTGCTGGCCCGGAGGTTTTTATCCTGGTTTTTATCCTGGCCTTTATCCTGGCCTGGAGGTTTTTGTTCTGGTTTTTATCCTGATCTGGTGGTTTTTATCCTGGTCTGGTGGTTTTTATCCTATCCTGGAGGTTTTCATCCCAGCCTGGTGGTTTTCATCCTGGCCTGGTAGTTTTTATCCTGGTTTTCATCCTGGCCTGGAGGTTTTTATCCAGGTTTTTATCCAGGTTTTTATCCTGGCCTGGATGTGTTTATGGTGGCCTGGAGGTTTTTATTTTAACAACAAAGGAATCTCCCTGCCCAAATCTCACCACAGGCTCCTTTGTCCTTCACCCTGGTGTTCTTTTTTTTGAGGACAAAGGCCAACAACAACAACAACAACAAAAAACAACGTCCAGCCCAATCTCACATCAGGGCCCCTTGTTTTCCATCCTGATGTCCCTTTGAGGACACAGCGACCCCCAAAACCACCACCAGTCCAAATTTCACCATAGAACCCCTTGTCCTTCACCCTGATGTCCCTTTTGTGGACACAACCAACATCACCACCACCACCACCACAATCCCATCCTGAATCTCACCGCAGGGCCCCTTGTCCTTCACCCCGATGTCCATTTGAGGACACCCCCAGCCCCACCCCATCCCGAATCTCACTGCAGGGCCCCCTGTCCTTCACCCCAATGTCCCTTTGAGGACACCCCAAACACCCCCAGCACAATCCCATCCCGAATCTCACCGCAGGGCCCCTGTCCTTCACCCCAATGTCCCTTTGAGGACACCCCCAGCCCAGTCCCATCCCGAGTCTCACCGCAGGGCCCCCTGTGCCGGACGCCGATGTCCCTTTGAGGACACCCCAAACACCCCCAGCCCCACGCCACCCCGAGTCTCACCGCAGGGCCCCCTGTCCTTCACCCCGATGTCCCTTT